CTCTGCCGGCTGCCATCATGGCTGGCAGTTAATTTGCATATCGCTCTGATTAGCCAATGGGAAGGGTAGCGGTCGTATGCTAATTACCATGTTTCTCTTTTATTAGTTAGGATGTATATTTGGTCTACACACACACACACACACACACACACACACCTTTCTGGCAGAGTTCCTAAAACACTTGAACAAAGATGTCTCTTATTATGTTAATGAGATGATTTTTGGAACACCAACATGAATTACAGCTAATCTGAATCTGTTTTAGGAAGAGCTTAAATTACTATAGAGCCTACCCTGAATTAACCCTGGCCTGGATAGAAACAGCAAGACAGTAGTCTCCATGTCTGAAAAACCTCAAGCTAATCTCTGGAGCAACAGCAAATCTTGTTAAATGGCAGGAGTGTCATTTGGATATGCACTCTGATTTTTTAAATAGAAAGAAGAGACAAATTAAACTGCTCATCAGCATCAGCCAAGGGAGCTAATTGAGAACAGAGTCCTGAAGTGTTGACCATCAACTATTACTGGGAAATGGCTTGGGATGACCAATGAAAGGGAACAGTGGCACAGGTTATGAAAATAATAGGGCAAGATGTACAATAAACTAAAGAAGAGAAATAAACTTTTCAAGAAATGCTGTATCATTTACATGCCCCATTACTAACAGTTGCCTACTATAGAATTTTAAGGTTACATGCCATATATTGCTACATAGAGGACATGATTATATGTAACCATCATCAATGTACATATGTGTGTGTGTGTTGAACCCTTGGAATTATCAACATTTAAGGAACTAGCAAAGAGGAACCGATTGAAAAGAGTGGGATAGAACTAGAAAAGATGGAAGCCAAGAAAGAGTTCCAAGAAAGGAATACTCAACAAGGCCCAAAGCAGCAAAGAGTTTAGAGAGAAGTACTAAGAAGTGCCCAATAAATTTGGCAACCAGAGTATCCAGTGACCTTGACAAGAACAATTTCAGTAGATTGTTAAAGGCAAAAGCTGGTTTACAGTAGGTTAAGGAAAGAAAGGGAAGTATGGAAAACATTCCATCCATTCATTTATTTATTCTAATGTATACTGAGGGCTACTGGGTATACACTGACAGTTGGTTCCAAAGGGAAGAATAGAAAGAGAACAAGGTGAGGCTTTAAAATTTGTCCCAAGTACTTAGAGCCCTATTGGCCTAGGAATCATGGAGGGTCTGATTCACTCCTATGTGCTTTACGTATATGATATCGTACAAATTGTTGAAAACTATGAACAGAAGGTGAGTAAAGTGATAAATATTTAGTACAGTACAAGCCTTAGGTAAATATCTTCATGTGGTACAAGCGATCTGCCTACTAGGGATAATTTCTTCTTCACTCACGATCACCCATTCGCTGTAGTCGAAGCTTGTGGTCTGACTGAGGTCATTTGGACATTTCTGCAGGATCAAATGGTAGTTTCTCAAAATGAAAGTCCCTCCACTTTGCATACAGTCTCTGCTCTCCAGTTGCAATATCCTCCACCACAAAACTTTCAATTTTTATGATTGGGATCTCAAATGTCTTATACCTCACTTGGATGCCCCAGTCGTGGCTGCAGTTCTGTCTGGCACAGAATACCTTTGCTTTCTTCTCAAAAATCCCCACACTCTTTGGTCTGGGGTGTGCCTTAGTCACGAAGCACTCCTTGAAAGCATCTCCAACCACAGTGTAATGGCATTCCTATGGATAAAGGGATCAAACATAAAATAAAATAAAAAGAACATTAGAACCAGTTCACAGTGATAGCAGTTCGCTGTTATTATTTCACACATTGATAATTATAGCATATTTATAATTTTGTATCCTGATTATTTTTCTGCTTTACCATTAGTTCATAAGGAGTTTTTCATTATTCTATATAAATTTCATAATCATTTTGTTTAATAAACCTGACTTTGGAATAATTTTAGATTAACAGATAAGTTACAAATGTAGTCCAGAGAATTCCTGAATTCACCTTTCCTGAATGCTAACTAACATCTTACATAGCATAGTGCATTTGTCCAAATTAAGAAGTTAATATCAGCAAATTACAATTAACTATAGATTTTACCTTTTTCCTAGTAAAACCTTTTATCTGTTCTAAGATTTAATCCAGGGAACCACACTGAATTTAGCATATCCATATTTCTAATGGCTACATAATATTTAATTAAGTGGCTGTGCAGCAATTTTTAAAATGATTTCTTTATTGTTAAAATTAAGGTGTTGTGTGTGTGTGTGTTTTTAATTTTTTAGCTTTGGTAAAATATATGGACCATGACATTAGTTATAAAAAAAGTATGGCATTCTTATAAATATCTCACCAGTAGTGAGTAAGCTTTAATTAGTGCTAAAAAAATGACCCAGTATTCTTTGGAAAAGGCTGCTCACCTCTATCACTCTTATATCTGCTGTATGACAAGCAAAGGCTTTGCACTTTCTGCAGAGCAGTTTTTTATTTTTCTTATCAAGTGCAGGTTCTGCTTTTCCTTGACTATCCCTGATGAATTTTTCATGAATCTGGATCTGGTGAATCTACATGAGAAAAAAGAAATACCTCATAAATGTAATTAAAGTATATATATATCATTCATTTTGCATTCACTTCCATGAACATGTTGTACCTGGTGACTTTGTAAAAATCCCATAGGTAATTTTATTGGTTCTCCTAACTCTTTGTTAGTCAATGTTTAATTGTGGCCTCCAATAAGTCTTTTAATTTCCTCATCAAAGTTGCCCATAGAGCACTAAAGATGTCCATAAAATAGTCATATGAACCATGCTTTCTACTTTAGTAGCCGGCAAAACTTAAAATGTCCTTCACAAATAGATATATGATACACATGGACTGTTTCAGACATATTTACACCCACTTCCAAGGCATAAACCCAACTGAATGAAACAGCAGGCAGAAGAGCCCTCACCATCCAAATTGGTTTTCTCCTCTTTCCTCTTCCAACCACAGAGAGCACTGTCAAATTACAGTAAAGTTAAATGTATGTATGGTATGACTGCATTATATTTCAAAATTTAGGCCTTGGCTAAGTACAACTTATGTTTATTATTTTTTAAGTATATTTTATTGATTTTTTACAGAGAGGAAGGGAGAGGGATAGAGAGCCAGAAACATCAATGAGAGAGAAACATTAATCAGCTGCCTCCTGCACGCCCCTCACTGGGGATGTGCCCGCAACCAAGGTACATGCCCTCACTTTTTTAAAAAAAATTTTAATTGATTTTATTTTAAGAGAGAGAGAGGAAAGGAAAGGGATAGAGAGAGAATAACCAATGTGAGGGGGAAACATTAATCGGCTGCCTCCTGCTGGGATCAAGCCCGCAACCCAGGCATGTTCCTTTGACCAGAATTGAACCCTGGATCCTTCCATCTGCAGGCCAACACTCTATTCACTGAGCCAAACCGGCTAGGGCTATGTTTATTTAAAATAAACATAAGGAGTTCAGCTGGCATTGCTCAGTGGTTACGCTTCAACCTAGAACCAGGAGGTCATGGTTCAATTCCTGGTCAGGGCACATTCCCAAGTTGCAGGCTCGATCCCCAATGTGGGGCATGCAGAAGGCAGCCTATCAGTGATTCTCTCTCATCACTGGTGTTTCTATCTCTCCCTCTCCCTTCCTTTCTGAAGTCAATAAAAATATTTTAAAAATAAATAAATAAAATAAACATAAGGAGATTTAGATTTAAAATCTAAAGGGTGAAGAGAGGAAGGCAGACAGCTAGGAACCTTGGGACCCTATGATAGTAAGTTCCCTATTTGTTTGTTGTTGTTGTTTTTCACCTCATATATCCTAGACTGGAGCTGAAGAAACTGGCAACCAGAAATACCTATGGGCACAGGTAAAAAAAAGTTTCAACAGCCAGACCAGCGTGGCTCAGTGGTTGAACATCAACCTATGAACCAGGAAGTCATGGTTCGATTCCCGGTCAGGGCACATGCCCGGGTTGTGGGCTCAATCCCCAGTGGAGGTGTGCAGGAGGCAGCTGATCAAGAGTCTCTCTCATCATTGATGTTTCTGTCTCTCTCTCCTTCTCCCTTCTCTCTGAAATCAATAAAAATATATGTTTTTTAAAAGTCTCAACAAAAGCTTATTCTCTCAAGCCAAAAGGCCAGGAAAGGGACAGCCTAGAAAGACAGAAAACTTTTAGCCAAGAAATATTCTACTCCAGCCAAATACCAAAGAATAAAACAAAACAAATAAAAAAACCTGTGACCCAATTTCCACCCATGGCAGCAAAGGCTGAGTGGGGAACCTAGATTTCCACTTTGTGGGGCTGTAATGAAATGCCCCAGCCCACTCACCTGGTGGTGTCAGAGAAGGCCAAGCAGGGAGCTAGGACTTTCATCCCTGCTCAAGGTAGCCGCCCCTCCCCCTTGCCTATGGTGTCACTGGAGACCATGTGGGGAGCAAGAACTCCCACCTCCACCCAGCAATAACAAGAAGCCTCCCCCTCATTGGTATCAACAGAAGCTGAGTAGGGAACTGTAGAGAGCGCAGAAGGCACACGAGCTGATTGTTGGCTGAGTCCAGTGGTGTCAGCATGAACTTGTTGGGCCCATTGCTGCCACTCTCCTTTCCTTTGGCGGTCAATGCTGTGATGATGCTCTGGATATTGGCATTGTTGGGATGGCCACAACTTGGGTGTTGGGCATAGTGGGGTGGTTAATAACCTTGATCCCAGCTGGAAACTTGCAAGAGATGGACTCTGCCACCTCATTGGAGGCCTGTGCTTGACCAGGCTGTTTTTTGGGCAGGGGGCCTTTTAGGCTCCTCCTCTGATGTTTCACCTGGGGCATTTTGAACAGGTAAGGGCAGCCTCCGTCTTTTGAGAATCAGTGGCCGATGGGGGCTGGTTTTCATTATGAATCTATGTTTTCATTCTCCATTGAGAATCATAAGAATGGACCCTGGAAAGTGCAAGGAGCAGCAGGAAGTCAGAGATCTGTGAGGATGAGAAGGTTTTGTTAGAGCAGTGGTTCTCAACCTTCCTAATGCCATGACCCTTTAATACAATTCCTCATGTTGTGGTGACCCCCAATTGTATTGTTACAAATTGACCATAATTAAAGTATAGTGATTAATCACAAAAACAATATGTAATTATATATGTGTTTTCCAATGGTCTTAGACGACCCCTGTGAAAGGGTCGTTCAATCCCCAAAGGAGTTGTGACCCACAGGATAATTTCCTTTGTCTTAAACTCTAGTAAAACTTCCTGGTATCATGCTGTATATAATAAACGCGTTGCTCTAGCTCTGGGTCACTGTCTCTCCATCTGAGGGCAGCGCCCCAGCTTTACTGAAAGTCTTTGTGTCTGTTTCTTTTTTTCCTTTTCTCAATCCCCAGCCACCCCTACTCAGGACTCGTTCGCTCTCTAGAGGTGCTGGTCGAGGCCCAAGAGAAAAAACTTATAGGGAACTTGGACTTCTACTTCCGCCTAGCAGTGATGAGATAATGTCCCTGTCTACTCTGCCAGAAAGGTGCCAGAAAAAGCCAGCTAACACAGAAGGTTAAATAAGATCCCAAATCTCTTAATATAATATGAAAATGTCTCGGTTTCAATAAAAAAATCACTCTTCATACCAAAGAACTTCCTGGTATCATGCTGTATATAATAAACGCGTTGCTCTAGCTCTGGGTCACTGTCTCTCCATCTGAGGGCAGCGTCCCAGCTGGCCCCAGCTTTACTGAAAGTCTTTGTGTCTGTTTCTTTTTCTCCTTTTCTCAATCCCCAGCCGCCCCTACTCAGGTTTCGTCCGCTCTCTAGAGAGAAGACTTACAGGGAACTTGGACTTCTACTTCCACCTAGCAGTGATGAGATAATGTCCCTGTCTACTCTGCCAGAAAGGTGCCAGAAAAAGCTAGCTAACACAGAAGGTTAAATAAGATCCCCAAGTCTCTTAATATAATATGAAAATGTCTTGGTTTCAATAAAAAAATCACTCTTCATACCAAAAAACAGAAAAATCTCAAACTGAATGAAAAAAAAGTTAATCAATGGATACCACCACTAGAAGACAGAAGTTATCAGAGAAAGATTTTAAAGCAGCCACGATAAAAATGCTTCAGTGAGTACTCAGAAACACTCTTGAAACGTGAGCAACTATAAAGGCTCAACGAAGAAATAGAAGTCATAAAAATCCAAATGGATGTATTAGAATTGAAAGATGTAATAACCAAAATAAAAAGCTCAGTGAATGGGCTCAACAGCAAAATAGAGGAGACAAAGGAAAGAATCAGTGAACTGGAACATAAAATGACAGAAATTACTCAATTGGAACAACAGAAATAATATAGAGCACACACACAAAAAATAAACAACAGAGCCCCAGGGACCTTTAGGAGAGTCCCGGAAGAAGAGGAGAAAGAGAGCAGAGCTAAAAAGTACTGGATGAAATAATGGCTGAATACTCCCCAAATTGAATATAACATAATATAAACTTACAGATTCAAAAAGCTGAACAAAAACCAAACATGATAAATCCAAAGAAATCCACACCAAAGCACATTATAATTAAAGTTCTGAAGACTAAAGACACAGAAAAAAAATCTTAAAAGTGGCCTGAAAAAAGTGACACCTTACTTATAGAGGAAAAACAATCTGAATGACAGCAGATTCCTCATCAGAGACCACGAAGGCCAATATGTTCTTCAAAAATAAAGGGGAGCTCTAGCCGGTTTGGCTCAGTGGATAGAGCATCAACCTGCTGACTGAAGGGTCCCAGGTTCGATTCTGGTCAAGGGCACATGCTCAGGTTGTGGGTTCAATCTCCAGTGGTGGTAGGGGGGAGGGCGCGGGCAGGATGATCAATGATTCTCTCTCTCTCATCACTGATGGTTCTCTCTCTCTCTCCTTCTCCTGAAATAAATAAGAATTAAAATTAAATAAAAATAAAGGGGAAATCAAGACGATCTGAGATGAACAGAAATTAAGAAAATTTGTTTACCAGTGGAATTTCCCTAAAAAAAAAATGGCAAAAGGAAGTTCTCTAAACAGAAGGAAACGATAAAAGAAGGAGTCTTAGAACATCATAAAGAAAGAACATGGTGATTTCCACAATGTCAGCTATAAAATCAAGCATCCAATTTTTAAAAATGCACTTATATCTAATTATATTCAGCTATATACTAAAATTCAGTTAAATACTAATAATCCCAAATATTTTAAATGTTACTATGGGCAATAAATCCCCGTAAGTTAAAACTATTATTGCTATACTTAAATTCAACAGGTAAAGAGGCTCAACCAATACCACAAATTAAGTTTATAGCTCATTGCCTCTCCCTTCCACCCGTTGTAGAAGAAGCTTAATTCCATGCACTAAGGTGGAAAAAAGCAAAACCATAAAACTCTGATTGTGTGCTGTCCTGGGTACACATCATGTTGGAAGTTCTTTTTGACGTTTTATTCTCTACTCCACGAGGAAGAAAAGTGGGCTTCTCATTTTAATTTCAAACTAGCAACTGTGAAAAATGCCCTTTATACCTTATTTCTCCAGAATTAAACACTCCCAAATCCTGAAGCTTTCCCTCATGGAAATCAATCCTTGGACACCTCTGGATCATCTACGTGTTAAAATGGCTGCAGAGTCACCAGAGATTGATTCCCTGGGGGCCACAGTGCTCTAAGGAAGGTCGGCCGCGTGCAGACAATGGACAAGGTAACTGTGGGACCAAGCTTAGGGTCTCCATCTCCATCTACTTGGTGTCGCCCTAGGAGTTTCTTCCCTCTCTTCTGCAGGGTTTCTTCCTCCCACTAAAGCCAATATGCAGGGACCAGGGTGCTCAGATCCCAAGCCCTTATCAAAACAACACAAAATCTGTATACTGTCAACAATAAAATAAAATAAAAAACAACCCAGAAAGGGGCCTCACCTCAAGAAACATAATTCCTTTTAGTTTTAAGAATATAAGGTTGTTCCTACCTTGTTATACTTCCACTAAGCCTCTGAAAGTTAAGCCTTCCTCTACGATAGCATAGGGGTGATGCCAAGACTCCATGCTCCTAGCTGCCACATAATGACTATCAGCTACGTTTGCTCCGAATTCCCTCTCATTCTTTACCATCTCTGCCCATTTGCATTCTATGGATGTTAGGCGGATCCCAAATGCTATGCAATAGCCCAATTCAACAGATATGTTGCCCGTTTTCTCCTTACTCCACTGCTTGACCTGATGTTCTGGCTACAAAAGAATGTTCATGCCTGGTTCAGCCTTCATCTTCCTTATTAGACTTTTACTCTACTGTTTCTGCCACATATGAATCTAATAAGTAGCTTGTCACCTGTGGGGGGGCGGGGGATAAAAATTATTTCATATTAAAGCTAATATGGTTTTAAGGCCTTTATTGGCAACATCCTTATGTCCTACATAGGTGGCTCAGTTAAAAACCCCTATCTCTCAGTAAAATTATGGGGAAAAAATGAAGAGAAACTAAGGAATTTCCCTGCAATTCTTTCTGAAAATATGGAAGAGGGTTTTTTAAAATATCTTGGTTTCCAAACTTTAGGAATAAATGTTTATTAAAAATGAGTAAACACTAACATAAAATTGTATTTTTGTCCTAAAATAAGTGTTAATTTGCTTTACATCACTGATTCTCAGTACTTTTTGAGCATAGAGATTATGACTTTTTAAAAATTGTGGCCACTGTGCAGTTGGTCTACTGAAGTGGAAGGTTCATCTTTCTGAAGTTACAGTATGCCTTTCACCTGTGTCCAATGACTCATTTTTTAGCACTTATTTTATACTAGGCACTGTGCCAAGTAATGCATACATTTTATTTTAGCCCCAAAACTACTGTGAGTTTAATACTTTACAAATTTCCCCAACTTTACAAATGAGGAAACTGATGATTTTAAAAACAGAGTAATGACCTGAGGTTATACATCTTGTAAGTGGCAGAACTGGAACCGGAACCACTGATTCTAATGTGAAAGCTCTCCCTCGACCCTGCAGTGCTTGATGCTTCCAGAGGTCCTGAGATGAAAATCTCTGGAGAGTCTGGAGAAAGTCTGAGTGTGCCTGTGCATGTGTGTCTATTTTCCCTCATCTGGTTCCATGCTTCTGAGTTATAAGGGAAATTACAATAAAATGAAAGTTACTACCAAGAGGCTGAACTGAACAGGTGACCCACTCCAAAGTATACATTATTATCCACCACTGCAATTAGGCACCCAACACCTGCATAGGGCAATGGGAGCTTTTCTCTGGGGACTCCAGATGTTGGAAAGAGATCTGAGAAAAAGACCAAGAAGACTACGTCTTGCAGTGTTAGGTTATTGTCCTCAAGATAAACTCAAAGGAAGAACGATTCTAGCTCCATTTGCCTTTTAGATTTAAAAGCACAACTTCGGGCATCAACATTAATAAAACATATTTTAATCTCATTGAGACTTAAAAGCAGAATAAACTAGATGTTCACTGCAGAACAAATTTTTAAGATTAAACTTACTGTTCTCATGCACCACTCAGCCATCTGATAAAAGGTACCAACCTTGCTCACCTTCTCTATCGGTTACTTATGGCCAGATTCTGAAAGAGTAGCACAGATGAAAAGACTTACCTTTTTTTTAAATACTGTTTCATCCCATGCCTGGAGGCTTAGAATGGAGTCATTCATCATTTTTTCTTTGTATATGTTTATTTTTTCTTTTTCAATTACATCATCATTAGTAGTCAGAAGAAAGCATTTGCTACCTCTTGCTCTTCCTCTGCCTGTCAAAAATAAATATTTCATTCGGTGCCTTTGATTTAAAGCTCTGATAAATCTGAGCATGGGTAAGCTAGGGGGAAGGGGTATTCCTAAAATGCAACTCTGGTTCACTGAATCCCGCTTTCCAGGGAAGCTGAGCCGTCGGAGCACAGACCGAGAGGCGGGTGTGCACCAGCCCGCTAGGCCCGCAGGTTAACTGGGAGCCCGCCGCACAATGGCTTCCTCACAGTCTCCGTGCTGCAGTGCGATCAGACAGCCACACTATCAGAAACACTGCTGACAAAGAGTCCAACATGAACCCTCAGGATGACACTGTGAGGGCTCTAAGGTGAACAATAACAGATCCTCCCTCGGGAGCCTTCTAGGAAATGGGGAAACAAGCTATGTTCACAACCACAAGAACATAGGTGGAAAATGAGAAGTGCTGAAAGACATAGTTACGGATGTTCAAAAGAGAGATGACTGACAGCAGGGGGAACTTGGGACAGGTGATAGGGAGGTGGGGGAAGAGGTAAAACGATCATCAGTAGCAGTACATGAGCAATTCCTTCAACAAGGAGAAAATGAGGAAGTCAGGTTGGCTGAAGTGAATCATGAATAAAGGGGAAGAATTGGAAAGATAAATGGGTGCTCGATTTGAAAATTCTGTAATGTCAAGTTTGGCTGGTGTGGCTCAGTGGTTGAGCGTTGACCTATGAACCAGGAGGTCACAGTTTGATTTCAAGTCAGGGGGCTCCATCCCCAGTGGGGGTGTGCAGGAGGAAGCCGATCATTGATTCTCTCTCATCATTGATGTTTCTATCTCTCTCTCCCTTCTCTGAAATAAAAGATATATATATATTTAAAAAAACACAATTCTGTAACATCAAAAAATTGGGGAACCACTGCAGTTTCTATACAGGGAAGTGACACATTCAGAGCTTTTTCCAGGAAAGGTAATGTGGCAGCTGCTGTTACAGAAATTGAAAAAGGAAGAGAGACTAGTTAGGAGACTCTGGTGCAAGTGGGACAGAAAGCTCCTTGCACCCGGCGGGCCCAGCGGCACCACATGCACAGCCAGGAGAGGTGTGCATGCCGACTGCCAAAGCCCCAAACCAATGGGAATTATCCTAAAAACATGCCAATCAGTGTTGACCAAGTACACAAATTTTCATTGTGAACAAGAATTAAAATAGTGGACAAAACCGTAGCCACCTAATTCTCGCCCAATAAGTCACCTTTCGGGCAGTGATACCAGAGTCCACTGTGCCACTGGCCACACACACAAGCAGGACTCAGTAAAGGAGAAAGGCCGGAACGACGGGTACACTCACAAGTCAGACAAATTGGCTGACATTTAAAACAGCACCAAAGCTTCTCACCTCTGGTTTGGATCATTTTGATGACATTGCCCACGTACTCGTACAGGATGACCAGATTGCACTGAGCAATGTCGATGCCTTCATCAGCAACTGAGGTGGCGATCAGAATCTTCTTATCACCACTGGCTCGGAATGCATCCAGTACACACTTCTGTGCTGGGAGGGTCATTCCTGTGCCAGAGGCAGAGGGCATTACAACTCACCAAAGAGGGAATGTTACCCTTGAAGAAAAGCAGCTATTAACTATGGAATGCTTACTGCATGCCAGGGACTGTGATAAGTGCTTTGTATTCATGATCTCTCAACAACCCCAGGCTGTAGGGCCTATCCTATCATCGCTAGAGAGAGCACATGTAGGGTGGTGCAACTTGGACTCTGCCACAACACTGCCTGAGTTCAAATTCCAGTGGCGGCATTTACCAGCTGTGTGGCTTTAGTTGTGTTGTCTCAAAACAAATATTGATTAAAAAAATATATTAACTAATCGTAATACCTTTGGCAAGTGTATAGGAGTTTACAGCTGACAAAACATTTTCATCTACTTACTCACGGGAACCTCACAAAGCTCTCTTAGGTTGGCGTGGCAAGCGTCATCATTCCCCTTATCAGATGAGGACCTTGAGGCTTTTGGAAATATGATAACTGACAGGCTACCTTGCAGCAGAACCTGACCTTGAATTTTTAAGTCTAGGGTCCTAAGAGTGAGCAGTTCTCAGCCACTGATATAATGAGAGGAGAAAGAACTTCAGTGACCCCCACTTTAGAGTTAATAGAATTTATAAAAGTTCCATTTCTTTCCTAGTATATCGGCTGTCAAAATCTTGAGATATACTTTGTGAAGGACAAAACAACTTCAAGACAGACACCATACTTCATTAATTTCATTCATTTGTTCATCGAACATTTATTCAGCATTATGGTTTGTCAGATAAGAATACAATGGTTAAAGGTCCACTTTTACCTACAAGGAGCTCATAATTTGAGGAAGAGGGGTATAATAGGAAGCTATAGTTCCATGTGACGAGCAATGAAGTGGAGGCAGAATGGATGCTGTGGGAATGTGGAAGGCTGTCTGGCAGAAGCACAATGACTAGCTAAGTTCTAAATAAATGTGGCTGGATGGATGAATAACTGAGGAAACAAATAAGAAAATATTTTCTGAGTGTTTATTTATGGGGAAATAACAAAGGTGGAAAATCATATAGGACTCATGTTGGAGTCAGATGGTAAAGAACTTTGACCACAAGAATCTGTGGTGTTCAGCTGGAGAAAGATAAATATCACATGATCACACTCATTTGTGGAATATAATGAACATAAACGGATGAACAAAAATAGAGCCAGAGTCATAGAACCATCTAACAGATTATCCAACCCAAAAGGGAAAGCAGGGGAGTGGGGCGGGGTGAGAGAGCAACCAAAGGACTTGTACCCACGAATATGAGCATAACCAATGGCTAGGGACAGGAGGGGGCGCGGGTGTGTAGGCCGGGACTGGGGGTTGGGGGCTGGGGCTGGGGGCAGGCTGGGAGATGACAATGGGGAGGAAAGGGGTCATATGTAATACTTTAAACAATAAAGAATTTTTAAAAAAAGAATCTGTGGTGTTGGACTTCATTTTGGTATGCCAAATTTTCAAAATCTGAATTTGCCCTTTAGAGTCACAGAATTTAAAATTTGTATAAGGGGGAAGTGCAAGGGTGATGACTGAGGACTGACAGGGTGGAAACTGCTTATCGTAACACTGAAGAGGAGGAACAGAGAGGAGCTGGCGTTGCTGGTCACTGAGGCGTGGGGAGCACGGCTGTGAGAATGCCAGGTGAGGGCTGGCCACCTGGCTCCTCCTGGACAACCACAGAGGCAGCCTTACCTCCTCTGACCACCCTCGCTAGAGTTCAGGCTTGTCTACTTGGACTGTTTTTTTAAACTCAAAGTATATAATACACACAAAAGCATCTACAGTTTAAAGAACAATAAAGTAGAAACAGAGCATTTCTACTTCCAGTTAATCTACTGGTTGAGCAGAAGAGTGACATGCTCAAACAATATGTAAAAAAAAGAATGGGAGGAGGCAATGTCTGCAGCTTTCTGGCATGTGAGCATGTGATGGCCTTTTGATATGTCCACTTGCCTAGGCTGAACTACAGTCTCTAGTGGGATTTGCAGTTGTAATTAAAGTTCTTAATCAGTACACATTAAGGAAATCAACAGGGGCTTCACCCTAGGTGGGCCTAACCTAATCAATAATACTGATTAGGTATTAGTATTAGAAAAGGGCTTAGGTCAGTGATGGCGAACCTATGACACGTGTGTCAGAGGTGACACTGAACTCATTTTTTTTAA